ATCGCCTGTGCACGACTGTGTATTTGAACAAGGCTGTGCAGGAAATGTTTGTCCCAGCTACAGAAACATTTTGTTCCCGTTCTGTGTTTGAAGCAAATGGGGTTTTCTTCAGGCCTTTTTGTCTCCTGTATTTTTCAAAACAAAGGAATAAGGAAGCAAACGTGTCTGCAAGAAGCTGCATGAAACAGCCACAGGAGAGCCAATGGACTTGCTACGCAGAGGACTCCTGCTAGATGTATTGAGCACAGTTTTCCCACCTAATTCAGGCTTGTGTCTTGAAAGCAGACCTTGCACCCACAGGAGATCACCAAGCTGCAGGCAGGGCTGGGATGGTGCTTTCTTTCCCTAGAAACTGCATCCCTAGCTGAAGTTACTCCAAACTGAGACTTCCCACAGAAGGTTTCTGTTTTCATAACATGCCATTTTCCAGTGAACAATGCTTTCATCACAAAGTTCCCCACCCTGTTTGCTCACAGACTGCCAATGTGAAGTTGTCTTTTGATCCCCAAGGGACTAAGGATGTGTGTGCATAAAAGACAGCCTGAGCAGATTGTGGAGAGAGGCACACCCAGCGATGGCTTTGCAGCTCTCCACAGGATTAAGGCAGCTACTGTGGCAACGCTACTGTCTGTGTGAGGGATGCAGGGCTGGGAATAGACTACATATCCTACAAAGTGACGGCTTTAGTTCTGTCTACTGGCTTAGAGACCTATATGTAGCCAGCACCTCACCTGTCCTGGAGGTTAGCATATGCCTCCTAGGCACCCTATACCTCAAATAAATAATAGCCGAATTCATAGGATGCGCCCTGTTTTATCCCAGAACAATGCAATGAACTGCAAGGCAAATTAGCAGTGTCTGTTTCCACCACCACTTCCGGGGACTGGAATTTACAGCGCATGGAAAGCTGTCCATCCAAAACGTGCTCTAGATCCTCTCAGGAAAATGATAAAGAACTCGATACAGCAGTAAAAATCTATGGGCCTGCCAACTTGCTGTCCTTAGACGTAGTCCCTACCCTTCTTCTCTCCTATCGAAGATCACCAGCACAGAAAAACATGAACACAGTCTTTCAATCCCTTACCCTGCTCTGCTTTCTTCTATTTCCGTAGGCGAAGCTCAGCTCTGGCAGCCCAAGCCAGCACTCACCAGCATAACACACAGCTGTGAATATCAGCACTCCCCAGCTGAAAGGGCAGGGGCTGCTTTGGAGAATAGCTCCATCCCGCAGAACGTGCCTCTGGTCAGGACCGTCTCCACAAAGCTCTTAGGAAAGGCTGTCTTTGTGTCTCAGTACCTCTACCTGAGGACACGGAGCAGAATTACCCATATCAAACTTAGATATATAGGTTAAACTTGTCTGTTCCCTCTCGTCCTGAGGGAGGCAAACAGGCACGTGCCAAAGGTTTGTAAATCAGAGGTCTGCACAGATGGGATGAGTCAGAAGAGTTCATCTCTGCAGCCACGAAGCACAGCAACCCAGATCAGACACCCCGCATTTGGACAGCTGCATTTAGGTTGGACACATTTTACCTTTGGCTAAAGCTAAACACAGCACACAGTGGAGGATGCAATTCCAGGCCCTGCTCTGATCAACAGCCATTCCCTCTGCTGCACTTCCTAGATACATGACTACTTGTGGTGAGCACCAACAGAGAAGCAAGACAAAGCAAAGGGTTGCCCAGCCCTTCGTCCCCTGCCAGGCTGACAGAAGGGACTGACACATGTAATCCTCCACGTCAGGCCAATGCCATAAAGGATGGAAGATGCTCCAGGGGATGGCCAAGCAACTCCCTGGGGCAGTCTCTAGTCTCGTAGACTACACTGCCTTGGTCCTAAAAACACCCAGTGCTTCACAACATGTGAGGCCATAGCCCTGATACTGATAAGGCCAAGCTCTTACAGGTTATTTCTCTCCATCCCAGTTGTCTGGTATTTCCACCAGACGCAGTAACCTCCATCTCCTCACTGTTATTATTCTACTTAGATGACAAATACTGCTAGGTGCCTTTTCAAAGCTAAAAGCATTTCATTTGGAAATGAAATGACCTTTTCTAGCCTTATTTCAATTCCCACGAGTATTGTGAGGCTAAGACGTTTGTTAATATTAGTAAAGAACTCTGAGTTCCTTGGCTGTAATAACTGCCATGGCAAAATAAGTTGTATTATGATGAAGAGGTTCTAGTCCAGTTAGAAAGTTGTTTCTCCCATCTGTATGAACAGACCATGCTGCTGTGTTAGGGAAGTCTGCTAGGACTCTATGAGGTTGCCACAGGCACATGAAGATGCTCAGGAACAAGCTGTGCCATTCCTACAACTGTACTTCTCATTTTGCATATTTTGAGGGAGAAAATCAAGAATGAAAAAGGGTTCCCAGGCCCACTCGGCCAGGTTCTCACACAGAATTCCTGGTGAAACTACACACCAGTGGCACTTCATCTCAATTAAAAGTTCAATGAAGTTTAACAGCAGATAAAAGATTATGTGGGGCATTACACAACCATAGCGTGGTTTGCCAGCAGCTGGTCACTGACCTCCAACGACTTCTTAAACACCTCCATGTGAATGAAAAATAAATGACAGTTCTATAAGGTAGAATTTTTATTCCTCAGTTAAGCTCCCTGTAAGACTGGGCTTTGCATAACTACTTGGAAGTCCATTACTGTAATACAGATCTGGGGAAGCTGTATGTTCTACAACTTCATGTTAGGGATAGAAAATGCATTTGTCATCTCAGAATGATCTGGGCAGTTGTATGGAAATATATGTCATTAAGAGGTGGCATCATGTGGTGTTGAGAAAAGCATTCCTGATTTAACACTGTGCATGAGAAGTGATGCTTCTCGTTCACAGAACTGGAAATACCTGAGGCTACTCTGTGTGCAATTCACTGTTTGAATCTGGGACATTTCTACACCAGCTATCAATTCTGACCCTCTGCCCTGCAAGGATAACATATGGATTTGTACTCACAGAACTATACTTATGTCTCACTTTGCTCTAATGCATTTTATAGCACACATATTTGTTATGCATATTAATAATTTAGAAGTGCATAATAGAGGCATGAAAAACTTCTTAATACGCTGGTCACAGCTCAGTTTCACTGGAACCCCTGATACACACACAGATAAGGTGTAATCCTTCCCTTCTTTTGAAAACAGACTGAGCGAGAGCAACAAAACCATGCAAACAAACCCCACCATTCAGCCACTGGGACTGACAGTGCTTTACTGTAAGGTTTAATAGGTCATTTAACCCGTGTCTCATTTGTGGCACTACTGCAAATGACAACCTGCGTGAGCAGCCAGAGAGCTTCCACCACTCTCCTCAGCAGCACAGGGCAGTGGTTTGTGAGCCATATATCTGGCATGTGCACTGCAGCAGCACAGAATCAGTCCCTCCCCATCACACCTGAGTGCTGGCTGTATTTCCACAGGTGCCCCATAAGCACATCAGGACAACTCCCAGGGCACCTGGCACCAATCAAGCCCCGCTTATGACCCTCACAGCTGGAGCTGCTCTGGCTCAAGAGGCACTTATGGCTGGAGCAGCCCTGAACCAGGAAAAGACAGAGGTCTCCCAGGGCACAGGAGAAAGGGGGAGCATCAGTGTGTCCCCTGCCAAAACCACACTGTCCCCACCAACATGGGAGTGCTCCCCCCTGCTGAAATCATGCAAAGGCATGGACAGGCTGGAAGCCTGCACGCCTGGGTGGACCTGTCGACACCCAAATGCACGTAGATAATGCTCAGGTGACACAGAAGCAGCTGCTGTGAGAGATGAGGGAGGCAGCTGTGCTATATAACACCATCAGGGCTGCCTGAAATAGCCTATTCAAACAAGAAACTTTCTCTGTGCTCCAAGGAAAAGAGATGCCCAACAGTGGCTGCCACAAAAAGTACAGGGAGGACAGAGGTGGCATTCCAGCAGGATGCACTGAGTGGCATAAAGGGAATCACAAAGTTCTAAATAACCAGGGGAGAGGGGGTAAAGACAGTGCTCCTGCAAGAGAGCCTGATTCTCAGGTGGTGTCCCTCTGCACTCCCCTTCCCCTGGAGCCCCGAAAGCCCCAGAGAGATCTCACCACCCTGGCCACCTTTGGGATAAGCAGGGACAGGACTGGGGGAAGGTGTTGCCACCTGATGCTCACGCAGCTCCGGCTGTGCAGGGACAGGCAATGCAGGGAAGCAGCGGGGAACAACTCGGCTCATTTCTTTGCCCCATCCCAGGCAGCAGCAACAGGAAATCCAGGAGCTCTGTGAAATGACAGGGAGGGAGGGCGAGTGAAGTCCCCTTGCCTCGGCTCGTGACGTCTCTCCTTCCTCCTTTTTTTTCTTTCCTGTCCCTATAAAGTATCTCAGAATCGCATCAAACTTCCCAGCGAAAGCAAACCGAGCCCAGCGGGGTGGGGGGGAGGCAGAGGAGAACACCTTAGGTGGGCACTGGCCATGCCCAAGCCCCACTGGCTGCCGGCTGCCGGCCCCGGGCACTGCGGGGTGGCCCCCGGCAGGTAGCCAGGAAGGGGACGTGGGGCTGCCTCTTGCCCTGAAGTGGAGAGCTCTGCTCTTACTGCGATCCCTGCGGCACCTGCACCTCGCTGGAGGCACACAGGGAAGGGAAGGCTCTGCGAAACTCCCAAACTCCAGGCAAAGGACTGCTCGGAGCAGCGGCTCGCTGGCTACAGGAGGAAAGTTTGTGCCAAACTTTTGTGGTGCTTTTGCTCTGCTTTTTAACCCCTCGGGTTACTCAGGCTGCGCACCACTGCCGCTGCCACCCCGGGAAATAGAGAACGAGGAATAAAGTTACTGTGAAAGGGGAAAGAAAAGGGTAAAACCTGCACCTCGGGAAGAAAGGAAACAGAATCCGCAGCCCAAGGATGAAGCAGTGAATGGAAAGAACGATTTAACTGGAATCAACAAGTGGGAACTCCTGCACGCCTCGTCCTTCCCCTCCCTCCCCGCTCCAGCGCGCAGCCCTCCACTAACTTGTTGCTGGAAAGAAAACTCGTCCCGGGTTGCGGACCTTTCCTCCCGCGCCTCGCAAGGGAATACCGCAGCCACCGGCGATGCTGCCCGGCCCGAGCGCCGCCCTGGCCATCTGCGCCCTTCAGGGGCTGCTCCTGGTGCACGGTAAGACCCGTTCACACCGTGATTTCGCCGTTACCTCGGGGGGGGACGGAGCGCTCCGCGGCCGCCCCGCTCCGCACCTCAGGGCGAGTGGCGCGCGGTGGACGCTAGGAGGCGCTCAGGAGCGGCGGGCAGGCGCGGGACCGCGCCCGGAGGGAGCGCTGATGGGGATGGACCGGCTCCGGGAGCAGTGGGGATGGGGTGATGGAGCCGGGTGGGGACCGGCGCTGTGCGGCTGCAGCCCTCGAGGAAGCGCTCACCTTTCATAGCTCAGTGCCTAACTCACTCCTCATACAGCTCTGTCCCCTCCTCGGCCCAGGCGCTGGGTCAGGTTCCCGGTTCTCCAGCTGTCCTTCACCCCACTCCAAGTGCGCTGTGTCCCCCCGGAGTTACTCCCGGGTTTATAGCTGAAAAAGCCAAGAGGCAGGTTAATGAGATTTAGAAGAGCTTTTCCATCTGCCGTATGAGTTTTGATTATCTCATTAAGCGTACGGATTTTGCTGGATTACCACGCTATTCATTCAGGACACTGCACATGGTGTAAGAGAGATGGTCTGTTATTTACTGGGGAATTCCTTATGACAGTAATGGTTATTTCTTTTACATATACATATAGTGAATGTATTTCACAGCACCAGACTGGCTTCTTCAGCATATTATAATCTTCTTGTAGTTTAATATCAAGAGGACAGCTTCTGGAAACACTGTGAAGCATCACTGTTCTTGAGTTTCTTGCATTCATTCAGGGATTTAACGTATTCCTTCTACATAAAGGAACTGATTTGCAAGCACTAACCCTACTGAATTCCACATATCCCCCACAGTTCCTTCCCCACGGTTGCCTACAGAATAAAGACCTAAGCCTGAGGTTGTGCTTCAAAGGGTTCATCCAGGTTAAAAACCGAAGCAGTAAACAGCATGGGTAGAAAGGAGCTGCTCTACCACAGAAACCCTGGTAGTGGTGCCTGAGCTAACCTAGAGATGTACCACAGAGTCCCATGCCACACTGTGCAGACACCGGCACCCACACCTTGAGCTGCACCTGGAGCAGTGCGGGAAGCCTGTGCAGCCCTCGGAGAATTCCCATGGCGTGCTCCATCTGCTGACACGTGCGCGAGCAGCCAGCTGCACGCTGCGTTAGGCTCAATGTCAGAGGAGCCTGGAAAAGCCTTCCACAGAAAGTGTGTTACCAGGAAGGCAGTGTAAATTCCACACAGGTGTAAATCACTGCATGGGCACTTTCATGGATCGCAGAGAGATAATGACAAGTAGTTGGGAGAGAGGAGGAAAAGTGTCTTGCCACAAGTGCTCCTGAGGCTCTGGGATGAAGCGGAGCACAGTGCAATTAGAGGAGCTAGGTGAAAAGCCTGGCTGGAGATGCTGCCCACGTTTCAGGGCTGAGTTGGATCCTCACGTGCCAGGTTACCTTCCTAACAATTTTGGTCCTAATAATTTTGGAATTTGGTCCAGCCTAGTTTTCCTATCAGTGCCAAGCACAGAGAAGGCAATGTCTGCATCCTGTGACAAGGAAAGGAAGGCAAGCACATCGCTAGCTAGCTGTCCCTGTAGGCAAAGGCTGATGATGGATTGGGAAACAGTATTATGGATGTCAGACCTTTGTCCATCATTAGGAAAAGATAATATGTTAGCACAGTCTCAGTGTGCCCTAATTAGGCTGGAAGCCAAAGTGAAACAGGGCCAGGAAGTCAGAGGATTCTGGATAGCTCTGATATTATCGAGGTATTAACTCCTCAGCCACCTTTCCCTCAAAGTTCATCTCCAGCAATGATTTCGGCTATACTCTGTTTGACCTCCCAAGGCACAGACCTATTCTGCAGGCTGCAGGTTAATCCTGCTCCGAGATCTTTGTGGTCAAATTTAGGCAGAGTTGCACTGAAGAACCTAACTGATTCAAAGCCAAACAATTTCCTCTGCAATGCAGACAGAAGATTTTACAAGTGCGAAGGACACTCAGTACCTGAGGTGCTGTGGGAGGGCAGTGAGGTGCAGGGGATCCATCCCATTAGGACCTTGCAGGTCCCCAAAACTCTCTCAGCTCAAACCAAACCTCAGCACAGGAGTCTGAGTGTCCTTTCCTCCTGTAGTAGCAGCTGATTGCAACCTCTGTCCTTATGCTCTGCATGCTGCTCAGTGGCTGGCCAAGGCTGCCTAGGCGTACCAGGGATGCCAGAGGACAGAAGTGGACCATAGCCTTCAAATTCATCCAGATCAAAGGATGAATTTGGATGAAAAGGATGAATTTCTCTACTCCTGACTCTGTGCTTTCAATCCTTGTGGGTATTTATCAGGGTGAAGAGACCTCCCAATAATTTCCTGCCTTGTTATAAAACATAGCTTCAAAATCTTTTATGCACCTTTAAATTTACTAAGACACTTCCACACCTGTCATTACATTTCCACTTTCTTTTTGCTTATGACACAGTTTATGTCACTCCTTGGAGTAACAGTTAGGATCTTTCTTCTCAGAACTTATGATGTAGTAATTACCGTGCAGCTGGCACATGTTTTGGGTATGGAGTGAGTTGGTTAAAAAGCAGCCCTTTAAACAACAATCTGTAAAGACTCTTTACACTAGCAACACCTTGTATCTTGCATCAAAAATTTAGTATCTTTTACCCTCTGATGTTATCATTAAGAAGATTTTAATATATGAGCAATCCAAATAACTCTTCAGGTGTTGGGGTAAACTCAGTAATTGCAGTGATTTAGTACTGGAAAAGGAACAAGATTAAAGAACATAACTTAGGTCCTGCCTGATCCCTTTGAAATTAAAGCACGTTTTAAATTGACTTTTTTCTTCTTTCAGTTCGCAACCTCTTCTACAAATAGAGTAGAATGGGCAGTTTGCCTTGCTATCATACACATTTCACTTACACCATGTATCAGGAATTGAGTCAAAAGGTTCGGGAGCTTCAGCTTTCCCAGTTTGCCGGCCAGGATGCTCGCTATGCTGTCGTGGGGCTGGAGGCTCCAGTCAGTGCTGGGAGGCTGAGGACTGGCCAGCTGACAATCCTGTCTATTGGTTCTAGCAAACCAGAAATGTGTCTCCTAATTGGTGTTATTCCTAAACATTTGCTTTACTGTGGGAAAATGTTATAAAAAGCAGAGGAGCCTTTTTTTCAGGCTGTGATATATGAGCCTCCTGCCTGAAGCTGCCACACTGGAAACCGACTGGAAATCTCCTTGCACTAATTCATCCATTTAAGGCAAGGAAAAAAATGTCAAGTATTTCTGAATACTCCCTGACTTCTGAAAAACAGCACTGTACCCAAATGAATACTGCGAATACAACCCAGGCTGTCTGGGGAAGGCTGCTGTTATAACAACTTACAGTATATTCTTTAAACAATATTTATCTGCTCATGTTTCCCCATAGGTCGGCTAATAGGTGTCTAAGTGAGAGCAAGGGGGTGCATCTGAGTTATCTCTGTGCTTTCATACATTCTTTGAACTGTTCACTTTATGATGAATTATTTGTACAAAGCAATAGCTCAGTCTACTCCAGTTTGAAGTCATGTATTGAGCTGGGCTGAATACATAATACTTCTGTAGGTTTATGCACAAGGGCAAAAGGTTTCCAGTCACAGGAGATTTCTTAGGTGCAGTCAGCGATAGGTGGTCTGTGTTTTTCCTATGTCTGCCTTCACACCTGACAATGTGGTTTGAAGGAGGCTGAAGATGCCCTATGCCATGTATGTTCGGAGATGAAACACGTCTTTTGCTCCCAAAGACATGTGCAAAGTGTATGCCGGAAGGGTCACTTGACCAGCAGCACAGGAGGGGATGAACAGAGAAGCTGGTTTCAGTTTACACTGCAGAACAGCAGCAGCAAGCTGCAGTTTTTAACACTACACAGGAGATTGCCAGGAGGCAGCGTCTGACTTTCAGAGTGAGCATGAGAAAGACACTGAAGCTCAGCCCTGCCTGCTTCGTTTGATATTTCCTCTGCTCAGCCTTGCTCCACCTTCCCTTTCTTCTCCTAACCGGCCTGATGCCACTGGAATGGGAATTACAAGTGGAAGTAATTAAAAGATGTTTGGAGTGTCTAACCAACAGCTAGGAACAAAATAGATGTGTCCCTAGTGTTTTCCTTCAGACACCAGCTCAGATGACTGACAGGATATGAAGGCTTCTGAGTGCTAATCAAGACATTCCTGTGCCTCCAGTCCTCACCTTCGGACACAGTATCTAAGTGTACTCAGTCACATTGACCAAAAAAGTTGGCTACCTAAATAAGCTGGCATGAAATGTGTGTAATAGAGAGCTGATCTCCTCACCAAGTTAGACACTTCTTTCATTTTCTTTTTAAGGCCACAGAGAAAATAGTAGAAGCTGCCAAAATCCCCCAGCCAAGGTTATTATCTGGAAATGGCATTTAATATTAGCACATGCTTGAAGTTTGCTCCAGGGAGCACAACTTCAGCAGCAGAGAGCTTGCAATCATCATCAGCAAGGCAAGATTGGAACAACTCATGTGAAGCAAGGTTTTCTGTACGACAATTGTGACCTTAGAGCCTTATCCAGGAGCTGCTCCCTCAAGCGGGGAAGGAGGGAGGCTCAGAGAAGATAGAGTGTGATCTCATGGGGCTGTGATGAGCAAAACTGATGGCTGCCCACCTTGCTCAAACATGGGGAGCCCCAGCTCACCTGCACCCAGATACTGACATACATTCAGCACCGAACTAGGCAAATCCTGTTGCTGCTTTTACCAGCTGATCCTATCTCCTGCATTCACCAATAACTGGAATACAAAAAGGAAAATCTCTTGGATCAATCCAGTCCCCACCTCACAGAGGTCAGTCTGGTGTGAGGGTGTGTTTCTTTGCCGTAGCCAAGACAAGGCTTGAAGCAGTGCAGCCATCACTGGCATTGCACCTCATGTACCCCAGGGGCTGTCTTGGCTCCCTGCTTCCAAAGGCTCTGGAAATGTAAGCAGTGAACTCACAGTCTAAGGGAGCTGAGCCCTGTGCAAATGTTGTTAA